CATCCTGGTCATCCATTTTGTCAGAGGTTTTGACGTCAGGCTCTTTCATGGTCGGTGAAGAAGTAGTTCCGTATGCAGTTCTCTCCAAATTTGAATCCTCGGCTACTGCTGAGGAATCTTCCCACGGCACTTGGGTTTCGAGGTTGTCCAGACCTTGGACAGCCAGAAATGGAAAGCAGCACAGCACACCACCATATATAAACAATATATCAAAATGATGTGCACGTCATGATTTGGGATTCAATGGTTTTGATAGCTACTCCCATAACATGAGTAACGCAGCCCAAGGACACACTTGACTTGGAATGTCAACAAACCTTGCACTTTCCTGAATCTTCTTGCACTCTTTCAAACGATGTAAGGTCTCCAAATAGGTGGTGAGCTCCTGTAGCTTTCGCAGCCGGGTCTCGCGCTGAACAGGATCAGGCGTCACTTCAGGTAAAGAAGGACCTGCAAGCAGTGTTAAAGGAAGAAACAATTCCCTTACCTTACTGTCCCTTACCTTACTGCATGTATATACTACATGTCCACAGTATATATATATATATGCAGTATGACAGCTACAAATGTGCACCCCCACCTTTTGATGGAGGAGTCAAAAGATCGGAAGGCTTGGACACCAGGACAGGATGCTCGGGTTCAGCTGGAGCTTCAATCTCCACAACTTAGACCATCAAAAGGCTGTTGAGGCTTGCAAAACAGTGTTCAGCAAAGGAAGTACGCAAACAAACCTGCAAATCCAAAATAAAAACCTGCAAGGCATTGGAAAGAAACCCTCGTCCACCTCACGTTCTTCCTCCTCTCCTGTTTCCTCTACACCAAAATCATCCTCACAATCCTCACCATCATCCTGATCAACAACTAAGTCCTCCCTAGAAGCAGGTCCGTAGTTGGTCAAGTCAATCCCTGTCTCCACCATCAGTCTTTGGATGTGAAGCTCACGTGGAAGATGTGGTCGTCTGCATATTGAATTATATTCTGACAGGCACCGTCGTAGGTACCAAGCCTGAAGATGGGCGGTTTGACCTAAGTCATCCCACGAAATGACATGTACAGAGTCACGTGTGCATACACATCATCAGCCACACCACTCACACGTGAATATGCATTTGTGCAACAAAAGGGCTTGGCACATCTAACTTCATGTAGGCGTACAGGCTTTGGATGTGAAGTGTCAGCACATCAACCGACACCCGAGACCCGATGATGTTGATGCATTTGACGATCACACTCTCATTGGTTGCAAGTGCATCCCGGGTGATCCGGTCGCCAGCGACTTCTACCTATAGTACAGTGGACACTGTTCACACAGTTGTTTCTCTATGTTGAATCTTCAAAAAACAAATGCAATTGAGTGCCACCAAAATGCAAGAGCATGCAGTCTTGCCTTTTTTCTTAGCTTCTCATCAGACTCCCATGCTAGGGCAAGTTCCGTAGTCATTGGGAAGGTCCTATCCCGAAACCAAACGCAGAGAAGTCTTTTCAGCTATATATACTTGAGCCGCAAGTCTAAGCGACTAACATGCGAAGAGGAATCTGAAGCCTCAGAAACAAGAATTGCTGGTGCTGTGCCAGGGGGGGTCACCAAGTAGCAACTAATATCCCAGCTGTTGCAGATCACCATCCAATGTGGAGCCTCAGCGTGGAATCAAACGACTCAAACCCATGTTGGACCAACAACCCCAAACAACGCTGCACAACATCTCACTAGTGCAACCCGAAAACTCCAGGTAGGGGCTGCACAGATGTCCACCCAAGAGGTAAGCCCCTCTCCTTGGCTGAGGAAGCAAGCATCCTACTATATAGGAATATATAGGAATGCACTTGAGTGCTGGAATTTCAATAGCTCAAGTATTAGCTAGGGCTCGCAGGTTGGTCAAGCCACTTTCAGGCTCCATCCATGGTCGGCAAAGTGTAATTGGTAGGGCTCCGGAGCCGTATGTGCTACCATGAAGCGGCGCTCGCTCATCATCTCAAATTCAATCATTCCAGACTCCACCGATCAAGTACTTCATGCATTATAAGACAAAAACTAGTCAATTTTAGTAAATTTGATCGTTTTCATGGCTCACATAGTCGATTCAACAGAAAAACATATCAATGACTAAAACTACTAATTATTCTTAGTCGTTTGAAGGTTCAGGATAGAAACACAATTCAAGGTACAGGCCGATACGTTCAACATCTTAGGCGACACCAGAGTGTATAGCGGTTCTTGTCCTTGATACAGCCTTCAACATCCTTCAACTACAAACGGACGCATCTTCTGCCAAAGCTTGCTGCTGCAGGAGCTCTCTTTCGAAGATCATGAGATGCAGCTTAAGGCCTGGCTTTCCGCTTTGCAAAGCTGGTGTGCGTGCATGGTGTGTTAACAACTTGTAGGCTCGTAGACCGGTCTAGACCTTCCAAGTTGGAATCCCAAGCTCACCCGCCTTCGGTGCCGAATCCTTCGGACACCGGTCGTTCACCGGTCCACACATTGCATCCCATTTTGTCAGACCCGTCCCTTTTTGTACACCCAAAAACGGCTGCGACCGAAACCGTCCTCCACATCGCTCCTGGATTCATTGCAACTCGGGCGTCTTCATCGCTCGGAGTCCGTCCCCTCCGGTCGTCGGCAAGGCCTTGCGCGCGGGGCCGGGCCCCGTGGTGCTCCTGCTCTACGCCAGTGGCGGCCGCAGCTGCCCGGAGGCCTGTCACCGCATCCGCGAGGTGCGGAGGACAGAGGACGCAGGGTGCAGAAGGGATCCCAACGGGGCAATCTGAGGCATCGCAGCGAAGTCTTGCGGAGTTTGGAATGGACCTGAAGCTTGAAGGTCAAACAAGGACGCTACGTTCGGGGCTCCTGGCCTTACTACTAGGAGCAAGGACGCTACTAGAGTGGCATAGCCAGAACCAATCACCGCGGGAAGGCACTGCCCCGCATGGCTGGCAGGCTTATGTGAATCTCGCCAGCCACTCCAAGCAAGCTGTGGCAGCGGTCCAGTGCAAACGACGCCAAGGCCATGGTGGTGTGACATCCAAATTCCCGTTTGGGCTCCAGGAGGTTGCCTCCGAGGAGGTTCGGTATGGGACCCTCCCTGCACCCTTCCCAAAGACCTCCTCTGAAGGTACTTGGAACCCTAGGATTATGACGGGTTGTCTAATCCTCATGTCTCATCGGTCAGTCATCAGAGATGCGTTTCAGATGATGCGCCACCTGTCAGGTATCGTGGCTTCGATCGATCGACACGCCAGAGTTCGAAACGCCAGAGTTGCGACGCTAAGCTCCGTCCGACTCATTGGGCTCAAGCGCTTAAGGGCTTCGACGCGGCTGTAAAAGTCGAAGTCACCGAACTGGTGTTCTTTCGAATGCAACACTACCTACTACCTTCACAACAGCAGCTTATTTGAGATAAACTCGATCATGATCGTTGAGGTTCACTTCTATGCAATGTCTCCAGTTTGGTTGGTTCATGTCTGTCAACACACACTTTGCAAAAAGACCAGACACTTCTCTTCGTCTTCAGCGTTCCACGAAGCGGATGCCGCCGCCATCAGCTCCGCTGGTGTTGACCTACTTTGACGACAACAAGGGACGGAACGAGCTCGTGCGACTGATCTTCGTGGTTGGTGAGGCAAGCCGGCCAGCTGAATAGATGATTTGAAAATATTTGAAACCACTCTCAGGGTATCTCAGGGTACTCTCTATAAGTAATATTGTGCCGTGAAGACTCCTTCTTCATTCAAAAAGAGCACCCTCAAACCACGTCCATCGCCATCTATCAGCCATGAATTAGAATGATCAATGATGGGCAGTTCCCAGAATCAAGTTTTGGGTGCATTTGGCTCCAAAACCTTGAGTTCAAACATGGAGGTGCCCATTACCACTCTATGAAATTGGGGAGGGTGAACCCCATAAATCAATGACTCTCAAGACCACCCCACACACTCCGGACAGCGTCATACTTAGATTACTCGCTAGTAGCTATATATTGTTTCTAATAGCTTCTTGTTACTACTAGCGATGCACCTCTTACTACTAGCGTGGCACTTGTTACTACTAGCAAACCTTGTTAGCCAAAATGATTCTTAGATCCTTCAAGACCCCGTATTTAAGTTTAATCTAATTTTAATTCTAATAGCTTTTTGTTACTACTAGTAAGGCACTTGTTACTACTAGCGTGGCACTTGCTACTAGATCCTTCAAGACCCCGCCACTTGGACCGGATTTGTCCGCCACCGGTCAGGTCCCCTTCGTCGACGAGCTCATTGGCTGCTTCGTCGATCGTGGAACGGTCGTTGACCGGGTGAACGTGGTTCGGTGGAGTTGTCGTTCTAACGGAAACGAAAGGGAGAAGATCACGTCACCAGCAAATTGGTGAGGATGTTTTTGGGATTTGAAGTACTAGGATCGACTGAACTTGATTCTATGATATTCTATGTGTGTGTGTGCATGTGCTCTTGCTTTGCCGCCTGGGCCACGTAATACGTGCTATCCAAGAGTTGCCCCCATCAACCGGACGTTGATCAACAGCTCGGAACATGCACCAACCCCCGCGCGGAGCGGAGCTCTCCGCGCGGAGCCGGAGCGCCCCGAGGCTTCAGCGAATATGTGCGACGTAGAGATGCCAAGCAGTTGCCCTTTGATCAAATTCCCACCCTCCGAGTGGGAGATACGGCGACCTGGGCACAGATGCCGATTTCTTCGTGTGAAGCGCTGGTGTAGTTGGTGCTGGTTGTGGTTTATTTACAGCCTTCGGCATGCCGCCGGCCACCAGCTCGAGCCCGCATTGGCAGGCAGCTTAATGATACAATACCCTGCTCAATCATACTTGTTGGTGCATTGGAGTTGCACATTTGGCTGGGTGAGTTTGTTGATGTTTATTTCAAGGTTGTTTGACCATGAAATGGAACGAATCCGAATCAGAGGTTGTCTATTCTGATCCAGCGATCCGAACCGGCATGTCTCAGTCGAATCACCTAAGAGGAACCAATTGAAACCAACACAAGCAATGCGAACCAAGACTATCCACAAAACATGACCTTGAAAACGATTCTTCTTCCAAACTACTTGGCCGTTTGCATGTTTTCCTTTTCAGATCTTTTTTTCGACCGTCTCGAGGGATTGCGACACGCACCAGATATTCTTTTTCACACACAGAAGGCTTCAAAGCGACCGAAGAATTTCTAGATCTGGCATGATTTGTCGTTTTTTTCTCCAAACCGTTTGAAATGAAAGACCCAGAATGACATCGAACAACAATACCCTGCTCAATCAGACTTGTGGGTGCATTGGAGTTGCACATTTTGCTGGGAGAGTTTGTTGCTGTTGATTTCAAGCGAAGTCGTTTTACAATGAAATGGAACGAATCCGAATCAGAGGTTGTCTATTCTGATCCAGCCATCGACATGTCTCAGTCCAATGGTTGTCTATTCTGATCCAGCGACCTACTACGTACTACCTACGACCTACTCGACCTACTACCTACTACCAGTACCTACTACCTAGTACCTACCCTACTACCTACTACCTACTACCTACTACCTACTACCTACTACTACTGCTACTACTACTGCTACTACCATACTACCAGACGGAGGGGGGGAGGGGGGGGGGGGGGGGGGCGTCAGGCTGTCGAAAAATCCGCGCGGAGAGACAAACCGTAGATTGAAACCAACACAAGCAATACTAACCAAAACAATCCACAAAACAAGCCGGCAGGCCGGCGGATTTGGCCCAAACATCTCAAAGATGAACTACTGAGCATCCAGACAGAGACCCAACATCTCCGTGCAGCTGTGTCTTCTCGAAGCTCACCCCTTCGGCCCAAAGATCCCCCGCAGATAGATTTAAAGAGATCCAGCATGAAGAGAGGCACCCCTGGGTGACTCTTGGTATCTCCTGGGGTCATGTTTCGCTCTTTGAATGTATTGTCTCCCTTTCATAAAGTCTTAAAACAGATGCGTTTGACAGTGTCTCTTCACTGAGGTCTTGGGTCAATCCTGTGCCATCGCGCGCTACGCAGCGAAGCTGGCGAAGCTCTACCCGGAGGATGCCTTGAGCGCCTGCAAGGCAACAAACGACCATGGCGCTGCGTTGGTGTTTGTTTGGCTTGCAGGAAGGTTTGGAGGTGTTTTTGCCTTTCTATTGCAAAGAACGGAGATGAAAGGGCAATTCTTTGACTCGGCTTTCACTTTACCGCGTAGGTTTAGTTTCAGTCAGGGACCAATTCATGGTTCGTTTGATGACTTTTGGAAGTGCTTGAAGTAGTGTAGACTCTTGATTAATAGACCCCCCCCATAATGAAGAGCTATTTCAATCCAATTGAGGGGGTTTACAATATAATCAAGAGTCTACACTCCATGACTTGACCCACATCCAGGCAGATGCAGTGGTGGATGCCTGGCGAGATCAATTGGACCTGCTCTACGACACGTTCTCCGGCTTCAGTCGTCCTGCCGGAGGAATCACCATCGTCCGAGAAGCTCAACGGGAGGGTTCAGGGTTTCGACATGTTGGAAGACCCTCCGACCTTTGGAAGGGTCCTTGATAAGGGAGACATGCATTAGGGAGACATGCAGACATGCATGGACATGTTCGTCCGAATCTGCATGCTGTGCTTTTCTGCATGCTGTGTTCAACTGTGTTCAGACAAGTAGAGTCAAACCCATTCCGAACTCTTCCCAGCTCTACTCCTTTTGGATCACTCGACTCAATTGGATCCGTGTCATGACATCCCCAAAACAGCGCTGCTCCGCCAGGGCGATCTCCCACCAGTTGCGCTTTCTTTTGGTCGGTCCACCAGCTTTGTCAGGCGGAACTCCTTCAAAGCTAGAAACCACATGACGACTGGTACCTTCAAATACCATTAGTATTGACGTGCTATTGACCGATTTGAAGACCATCAATTGTACTTTGGTAGTAGCGTCCACGAACGTTCCGTTCGTCGTAAGGCCAGCGCCCCGATCGCTCCGGGCGCGTCCGCTCGCTCCGATCCATTCGCCGATGGGCTCCGCTCAGCCCCACACCCAGGTTCTTCGAGCGCACGGTGATCGCTGGGAAGCTCCAGATGTTTCCACGACAGCAGGTGGAACGTGCGCAGCGGGTGGGCAACTACTTCGAGAGCTCCTTCAAGCCGTGGATGCGGCAGATGGACGCTTGGAGATGAGAAGTTGGGATGGATGGTAATTAGGAAAACGAAAAATGAATGGGAATGAATCTGATGTGGTTTGGAATGAACTGGAATGAATTTGATTACATGGACGGTGAAGTTCCCGGTGTCCGTGGCGGAGACCTGGTGGATCGACCAACGGTTTGGACCTCCCCACAGCCACGCGACACGGCGGGTGGGTTTTGTAAGACACCAGTCTTGCGGATCAACCCTTGATCGCAATGCGCCTTTGCGATTTTGCTGGTAAAGAGCCAGTGGCATTGGCCTATATCATATACTGTGTAGTGTGCTTTGCATTTGAAAAAGAGATGGCTCTCCACACTGGCTGTTCTCTCTCAATCTTCTGGAATTTCCACTGGACGAAGCCGGCCCCAGCACAAGCCAGGAGAAGTTGTTGGATGGTCGTCGCATCGCAGCTTCGCTGAGCTTTGCCGAGCTGGCGATCTTCGATTTGGTCTCCACCTTGGAGGGCTTCGTGGAGCCCGAAGCGTTCCTGGGAAGAACGTGAAGATGGAGGGACTGAAGCGGAGGGACTAAAGAGGGCGTCGAGGGGATGACATCAAACAAATATCAGGAAACCGTGGTAACCAAGTAGCAGCAAGAGCAAGAACACGGTCTGGGAAACGATTTTTTTGCTGGATATTCCCCTAAGATTCGAAACGTGTCCGGCGGGCTCGCCCGCAGATTGTGGTGTTAGAAAACCGCATTCCATGTTCAGGTTCAAGCAGGTCATGGACCTTCACCCTGAAGTCCGTGGATTGGTGCAGGAGATCGGTGCCTTGCCGAGCAACTCGGATGCCATCAAACGAGTGGACCGGTTAGATGAGGCACTCCGGCAATGTCCTCACTGTGCCACCCTTCACCCCTCCTTCCATTGCTTCATGCTGGATGTCAAATTGATTGCAACTGCAGTCTACTTCAAAAAAGACCACCAGAGAAGACGTCACGTCCTTTGGATCTCCTTGAAACAACTTGGTTTCCTTCTTCTCAAGATCCCTTTGGCGTGCAGACCATCTAAGACCCCACCACCTCTTGCTGTTACACCTGAGGCGTGCAGCAGCACCTGGTGCAGCATCCCTACCAGTCGCTTCGTGAGCTCATGTCCACGCCGAGCAACTGCAAACGACACCTGGAGTCGCTGCTCTTCCCGTGCCTCAAAGCTGCCATGGCCAGTTGGCTCGGCCTCAAGCGCTGCTGTTCGGGCGACAGATGAACCACCGAGGGACTCCACGGCGATCCAGCAGGTCGATGTGCACGGCACCGACAGCTGCGGTGCAGAGGGGCCAGCGGTCCGCATCGCTCGTCCTCACCGGGTGAGGGAGAGCTCGGGGTGATGATGGTGATGGCCACAACGTGGTGTTCATGCTGAAGTTGCAAAGGAAAGCTTTCACACCAACGTCACAGAGCTCGTCACAGACGAGCTCGGGAGTGGATGTGAGTGGATGTTTTGTTTAGTCCGTTGAGTCCCATCCAGGGGCCGTGGATGTGACAGGGGCACCCAACTCCTTCCTCGATGTATAGCACCCTGTCCTCCATGGAGCTGCTGGACTGGAAAGTGTCGGATCCACTTTGCGTGAGGCGATGAGTCTACTCTAGACGGCACCCTCTCAAAGAGAGAGAGAGAGAGAGATTGGGTCCGTCATTGGATGCACGTCCCGGCAAATGACCGGAAGCGATGAAAGCATCGAATCTCTGCCTTTCATTGCAGGGAGCGACGTGTTGAGCGGCTCGCCTGGGTGAAAAATCTGCTGCGTCACTGCAGTGAGCCGCGGCGTGCTGCGGGCTGCGTTGAAGGCATTGGGCTCGTTGGGAGCTTTAGCTTCAAAAGGAGGGATGTGTTGGGCAAGTCTGCCGTCGCTGGAACCGTTGAAAAACCAATCATTTGACGACGCAGATGAGGAGTAATGGGACATCCGGTGAACTTATGATAATACAGGGTTTAGACCTCTTTTTTGTCATATGAATTCATATGACTTTTATGACTCGCAGTGACACCCGGTGTTCAAGCATGTCGACACTGACCTGTTCGCAGGCAAGTGTGCCGAATTTGCCGACAAGTTGCCAGCCGTGCTCTTCTTCGCAGCTACACTGCAAACAACCCCTTGGCCAGGTCACTTTCAGACATGCAACTATCATGATTTAGGAATGTGTATGCCACAAGAAAGGGATCCAACACACTGGAGGTGCATGGTGTTCTTCTGTGTGGAGTCGTATGACATGGGGTTCCTTTACATGTCAATGATTAAGACATCGACTTCTACCAGGAGTCACAAAGGGGGTTAACGGACACCCCTTAACGGCTAAGGGGCTATAAATAGACACCCTTGGAGGGTCCTGGTATAGGAGGCTTTGTGGCATTTTGTGGCCATTCAGCTGTGCGTTTGAGGCCAAAGGAAACCGACCAGAGAAGGTGTTATCGACGGGCACGTCCTTGTCCTATTCGCTCTTACAGAAAAAGGCCCGGGCAGGGTTAGGACATGTTAGGATCGTGTTCTTCGAAGTTCTCCTATTTGACAACACACGTCACAAGTCGCGCAGAAGAACAGCCGCAGCCTATACATGTTTCTTGCTGAAAAAGATTCGGAGAAGCTCCAAGAGATTTGGTCCTTCAGTCTTAGGCAGACAAGCTAGACATCCTCCCATCCTTCACAGCTCTAGTACGTGCACGTCGTGTGAATGATGTCACTCGCCCCAGATATGTCGATGTGGAGGTGGCCAAGGCAGATGTGAATGATATGGAACTGACCGCTGGAGACTTTGAAGGCCCGGTGGGATGCACCGACCACGTTCCCTCGTGGTTGGCGATGGCGGGTCGGTGATGTTGAATTCTCTGAATACGTTTGTTCGAATTTTCTGAATTGCAGAGACCACGACTACCCCCAGGATACCATGGACACCACCATTTTCCTTGTGAAACCTCAATCATCTGAGTGACCAGGTTCGAAGCCAGGAATTCTCACCCCAAAGACGAAGGGATCAAGATTTGAGCCCAGGAAGTTCATAGTTCAACCTGCAAGGAGAAGCCCAACTCCACTTGTTTCCCCCAACTCAACCCCTTTGTCCGCCTTTCCGCCGGGAGAATTGCGGGAGAAGCGCAGGCGGCGATCCCTGTGGCGGGCAGTCGCTTTGCTCGGAAGATGGGGGGAGGAAGCGTTCGGAGTCACGCCGATCAAGCATGCGTTTCAGCCGGTCGGGGTCGGCGTTCAGCCGAGGACCCTTGAGAGGTTTCCACTTGCACCCTTTTGAGGGGTCAGGGGAACGTGTCGTTCGTCTTCGTTCGGAGTCTCGTGTCGGAGTTCTCATCTACAAACACAAAAAATTGTGCCTCATTTGAATCAGGTCTTTGCTTTTTTGGGTTCAACACACGGGACAACAGACCTTGATCTTGGCAAACAGAATGTTTGTGGGATTTGATTTCTCGAACCGGACAGCTAGATGGGTGTGTAGCTCAAATAGGGAGACCTCCCAGGCAACGACCCTGTGGAAGAAGGAAAATAGGCCACGGCCGCTGTCTCCCAATTAAAGAACACACGCGCATGGGACACGAACTGAATCCTCCGATGGCCCGCCAGCCACGAAGAAAACGAAGTGCTGCCTTCAATGGGTTCCTGAACCGGACGCCGCTTGGAGGTCTGACTGAGCTACACAGGAAACGTTGTGGCTGCCCTTTGGCGCCGAACGTGGTGAGGTTCTGCTTGCTGCTCCTGCATCGGGGGAAGGGAGACTCGGTGCCCTTGGAAAAGGTCTCGAAGGCTTTGAAGAGCCTTGGCGCAATACGATGGACGTCTCTTCTTGGGGGGGTTCTCATCTCATCTCTGACCAATACGTATAGTTGATGGATGTTGATGGCAGGGTTTTTCTCGTCGAATGGCTGGACTGGACTGACTCTTCTTTGCCCCTTGTGGACAAGTTCTTCCGGTGGTGACTGCCGCCAGGCATCGATCCATTTCAATGTCCAATCATGTCCATGTCCCAGGAGTCACTGGTGTTTGATCCCCAAGTGAGTGGATAATGGGCACCCCTAACCTCCATTAAGCACCCCTTTGTGACTGCTGGTCCATTTTCTTTGTCCCATACGATACCTTTGGGATGCTGATGTTTTCCATGCCAGAAGCATTACAGTACATTTCAAAATTGACCCTAGGGACACGACACAGCCCGGCCCGCCCTTTTTCCATCCCTCAAGAAAGACTTGAAACGTGACGGAATCCATGGCGTCAGGAACGAGCCAGTGAAGGTCTATCGTGCCAGGCCCTCAGGTCGCTTCAGGAACGACTCGGAACGACCATCGACGGTCCGGAGCCGTTCGCAGGAAACGGGTCCGATGGTGGGTCCAGACTCCATGACCGTCGGTTTCTTACCCATCCTGAGATCGATTTGGTTCGGGATCAGGAAAGGGATGTGGACAATGAGCGGGCTTGGGCAGTTGACATGTCAGACGGGCTTTCTTCAGAAATCCCAAAGGATCTGACGTCATGAGTCAAGTCTTCTTGGAAAGAAGTTTCTTTAATCCGGGTTTGTTGGATGTTTGTGTTTAATGGAGACGCTGGGCCGCCCATTTGTAGGTTATCCAGCAACCGATTGACAGGCTCCAACGGACAGATCTTCCAACTATGCAACAATGCTTGCCTTGTTGGTTTTATGAAAAGGCATAAATGTTGCATATAGTTGTAAGATCTAGGTACTTACACCACCAAGAATCCGGGCCCGAACCACAACACATAGGCCTTTGGATCAGGTCCGGACCCCTCAGCTTTAGGTGTCGGGATGAAGCACTTTTGTAGCAGCTTGGCGATCCATAGTTTTTGCAAGGAGCATCTCATTGAATCAGCTATGAAGGACTTTATTCCAAAGGAATCCTGCAATTCTTGTGCACGAAACGCTGCCTGATCCAACAGAACCCCAAGACCCATAAATAAACTCGCGGAGAGTTGATCCCAAAAGGGCCGGATGCGACACGCGAGACGACGCGGTCCGCGACGCCGCAGGTGTCGGCCGAGAAGCACCCTGCCTTCGCCCGAGCCTTCGAGGGCTTCGTAGGCGCCACGTGCGTCGTAGGCGTCGAACGCGCGGGGTTCGCGGGTGGGAAGACTGAGCGCCAGCTGCTGGTTGATGCGGCGTGCCACGGTTTGGGGGTCCAGACATTTGGGCATAGTAACAAGAAGCCATACTAGTAGCAAGGTGCATCGCTACTACTAAAGGAACAAGAGGATGCTACTAGCAAGGACGCTACACCTGTTTTGGGTCGTCTCAGACCGGATGCAGGCTTGCTACGTCGTCCTGCCGTGCGGCTGGTGCTCTACAGACCGTCCCTGGGGTTGAAACGGGGCGGAAACGAGCGGTGTGTGGAGAAAACCGATCTGCAATTCGCTCCCACGAGAATCTTGCACTCCTGCATGGAGGCCCCCCCCAAAAAAGGACCGAATCCCTTTTTTCGTCCCTCACTTCCGGAGGGCTCCCAATTCCTCCAAAACCCCTCCGTTTGTTTCCTCCGGGCGTCCGGCGGCGTCCGGCGGCGGCAGTCAGGAAGCGGCGGAGCTTTCAGAGCTACGAGGGCGCCACGGACTCCGCGGAGTCCGTGGTGGACTTCGTTCAGAAAGCCATCAGCAGGTGCAGCCGGTGAGGGAAAGTGGTGGGGAATGAGCGGTTTTTTGGGGGGAGGTGCAGTGAAATTTAGGGGTGGAAAAGTGACCATTTGGGAGGTGTTCTTTTTTGTGCTTTTGTTTGGGGGAGGTGAATGTTTGGGGGAAAAAGATTCATTAGGGTGAGGAAGTGGCAAAGGACTTTGAGGCATCATAGAGGGGAATCACCTGGAAAGCAAGTCAGGACAGATGTGTATCAGACTGAAACGCCGTGCAAATCGGAATCATGGCCAACTGACGTGTGGTTTTCCAATCAATTGGAGCCGCTAGGCGGGTCGCGGTTGGCATGTCGGATGTTTCAGTAGGGCGGTCTGCAAGACTCAGCGGAAAGGTCTACATGAACACACAAAAAGTGCCGGCGGGAGCACTTTCTCCGCTGTGAACATGTTCACAAGTGAGAACTCAAGTTGGGCAGATATGTTCATCCCAGATTTCACCAGTTGGGCGATGGCCTCCACCCTAGTAGCGATGCACCCTAGCAAGTATATATGTTCTTTACTGATATGTGAAGAGTGGAGGTTTACAGACTCCCTCGTTTGTGTCGTGTGGTTTCCGCCGAAATGCTGGTGCCAGGGGCTCTCAGTTGCCGGAGAAGCTCTCCGTCCTGCCAGTCATCCAATGAAGAAGGATCGATGGACCTGTGATCTTGTGGAAGATCGCCACATCATGTGATTTTCTCACCTGGAGTGGTCTTTGGATGGTCCATCCACATGGTGATCCGATTTCACGCATCGCGCGTGCCATCCACTGGAATCGCAACCCATGATGATTCCAGGGAGTGTACGACCGCAGAAGGATTGACGACCGAGAAGAACGGACCACCTGCCTTGCACCGAGAAGACTGTGGATTGGGGAGTGTCCCACGAAAATCCAACAGATGGACAAGTGTCAACCTGGTTTTTCCCGGAAACCCAAAAGGGGTCAGTATAGTCTTTCCTCTGAACATGAGGCATGATGCTGAGTGGGTTCAAAAATGGTTCAAACTATTATGTTCAAAGACACAGCACCGAGCAGCGCAGGAGAAATCTCTGAGCCTTCAAAAGCTAAGGCTTGTCATGTGGCTCCAAAAGTGGGTTGTCAAGAAATCAACTTCGCAGTGGAAAGAGTATTAAACTTGCCTTTTGAATCTTCTGACCCACGTTTTGGAGCTGCAAGACGTTTTTTCATTCCAAGGAACTCTTAAATAATTTGTAGCCCTAAGGGGGGTCTTTTGGAAGACCCCCTAACTTAGGTGTTCCGTTTCGATTTTGGCCTGGACTGCCCGCCGACTGCGGGGCTCCGGCATTAAAGCCCGTCGCTCAAAGACCTGTCATGTCACAGCCCTGTACAGCCGCTGATGGCTGGCATGCAAACCTGCGCCTTTGGCGTCCAAAACATGAGCGGAGCGGACGAAGGAGTTCTACAGAAGTTCAGAAGTTCAACCACATGGGTCGCATCCTTTTTTAGATCTACGAGTCTTGCAGAGATGCCAACTTTGTTTTGATGTTGTCTTATAAGTGTCAGTCACTATAGAGGGATCATACACCAGGATTTCGGATCAGCCTAGGGCCCTTGTAACACCTCTTTTCTCATGTCTTTTTGTTGTTCTCTTCACCTCTTTTCTCAGTGCTTTTGGGTGGTTTCTTAGTGCTTCCCGGTCTCCGGCGCGAGCTCGGCTCGGCGCTTCCGGTCCGCTTCCGGTCCGGCGCTTCCGTTCGCGCCAGGGTGGCGTCGCCCTTCCGCGGCCTGGACCTGGACGGCGACAAGTTGGACAACTTGGACGAGTGGTACGCGGCACGGGGCACCCGGTACGGGCGGGCGGTGCCACGAGGGACGCGAGGAAACGTGAGGGTGGGGACGAGGGCGAGGGACGTGGGAAGAAAGGGCCGGTTTTTTGGGGCTAAGCAGGCGGGATTGATGCTGCCGGGGGGGTTACGAGGCGGTGCCGAGCGGTCTCAGAGAGGCTGTCCCTTCGGTGTCAAGTCTGGGTGCATGTGTCTTCTGCGAGCGAGGTGGAAAGGAAGTGAATTGGTTCACCGGATCTGCTTTAAACATCTTCCGACCCACGCAGATCCGGCTCAAACAGCGTACACCGGGCCATCGTCCACCGGTTCACGCGTTCACCGCGTTCGTTGCGCCATGCAGAATGTCACGGCCTTAGGGCCCAAAAACCCCTGGACGGCCAACCTGTTGAGTGCCTTGGGCATCATGCACTTCAACAACGAGGAGATCAAAGAGACCTTCGATACCCTAGTGGGTTCCCTTGGTTTTGTGGTGATCCTTTTTGTGTTCTATTTTCCCTATGGTAAATCAAATCCATGTAAACCCCCCTTATGTTGGGAAATATGTTGTTTGTATTTTTCCGGTTCTCGGTTCCGCCGCACATCCAAGGCTCTGGGCAAGTCTTGCCCAAGATTCGCCTCTTTGAGATGCTCAAGGCCGCCTATGGCTTTGAACCGATGCCCGAGGAGATGGGTTTATTTGTGAATACCTTTCATCTCGAAGACGATGCCGGTGAATTGACCTGGCCTGAGCTCGAAGCGGGCTTCGATGAGATTCGAGAGGTCTTGTCCGGCGTCTCAAAGAACGCCACGGAGTACATCTCGGTGGACGACTATCGGACCGACCTCATGAAGCACCGGCGCATGATGAAGGATCCCATGGATAAGTTCAAGGCTCCCATGACCGAAGCTTAGACCAATTGATGCTTTAGGGCCTTGCAACGGGTTGGTTCTTCTGAGGTACTGTGAGTGGAAATAAGGCAGACGTGGAATAAAAGACTATTAGATATTGTCGCTAATGATATGTTCTTGACATGTCTTAGATGCTGATGTCGACGTTCAATGGATTTCTTAAGTAGTGGATCTGCTCGCAGTTGATAGAGGTTCTAGCATCAAGAGATCAAAGCAAAGTTCGGCTCTATATAACTATAGTTCATCCATCCAAAGTTCGATCAGAGGATGTTCTTGTTGTTTGCTTCATGTGTCCGATTGTTCATCGTCAACGGACTGTTTTCTCCTCCAAGGAGTCGATGAACATCGGTTGGCACGAAGAGGAGGTCTTCAATGAGCGTTTCCCCAAGCAGTCCTGTGCCGAAACCAGGTACGCGGACGACATGGTCAAAGCAAAGTTGGAACCTTTCTGAACGTGACAGATGTGCAATAAACACGCATTTAAGCAGATTGATGTCTCGTGTTTCTATAGTTATTTTGGTGATGTGCTTGACATGATATGTTTCTATGGTTTGGTCAAGATTGCAAAATTGTTCCATAGTTTATGTGTTTGCTTGCCCTTCTCCCGTTTTCACCCATGCTGTGACTGGCTGGAAAGTTTGACTTGCCCTTGGAACAAGGATGAGTATGCAGATCGAGGTGTAGTGGCCAGAGACGGCTTACAGAAGTTCGTTTCGGAAAGAAAAGCACTGCGAAGGCGAAGTTGCAGAAACACCGTACGTACATCTGGTATGTGTCTATAGGTGTCTCAGCACAAACTATATATCAATCCAAGACCCCAAATTCGATCCTGCAAGTCCTGACTCCGCTGAAGCTTTCGATCGCTCTCGTGTTCCTTCACCCGTATCCCTTCCGTGGTCTCACCAAAGCGAGCTGCTGCGACTCGACCGGTCGTCGCTGCGGTCGACGTCTCTTCGTCTCGACGACTCGACTCGCACCCAGGAAACCATCAGCGGCAATGGCGGACCACCCACCGGGCCCGGGGGACCCGGTCGTCGGTTCGGTGCGTTGGGGTCGGTGGGGTCGGTGTTAGAGAGCTGATGCTGAAAGCCAAAGGGGTGAAACTTATACTTCTCAATGACCGGGTGGTTTCTTTTGGTATTTCGGCCTTTTGGATTGAATGCTGTGAGACAAATGAGGGAGAAAGGCCAAGCAAAAAGAGGGATGTGGGATGTTCTCAGAGGCTTCATGTTGGACCCAATCGCTTATAAGTGGTGCTTTCACCGGCCTCAAGTTCTTTACGCCTTCAAAGAAGATGAGGTACTCCCAAAAATACCCATAAACTACCCCAAGTAAATCCAAACACACCCACCAGGTCTCTGCCGTTCCGCCGCCACGTCCTTTTTTCGTGGACGGACACTCCTCGTGTTCCGGGTCCCGCCTTCTTCGGTCGGACGCGTTCGCTCCGCGGTCCGATGCGCCGAGGTTTATGAAGGACCTGATTCTTAGGACCCGCTGCCGCTGGGGCGCCGTTCGGCGGGGGGTGGTCCGGGGCTGTCCTTTTGGTGTGTGTTGTGTTTGTGTTGTGTTGTGTGCAAGCCATGGCAATCTTCGCCCCAAGCTTCGGCCCAAACAGCCGGTGACTGCGTGCATGTGACTACGCAAGTATGTGGATGGCACTTCTTAAGAGAAGCAAGAGGAAGATACAAGCCTATTCTGTGATTATGATGTATGGTCCTGAAATCTTTGGTCCAATCTTTGGTCCTGAAATCTTCTCCATCCTTTCGTTTCACTTCTCACCATGGTGCCGCGGCCCAGCGAAGCGGCGCCCGTTTCACCGCCCCCGCCCACCGAAGCGCCGGAGACACCCCGCAAGGCGCACGAAGCGAGGAAACGCGTATCGGTCTCCTCCCTGGCGTCCTCCGTGGATTCGGAGCTTCTCCGCGCGGTGCCACTGAATTTGGTGTTGGCAGGTTGTGGGAAGGCCTGGATCAATCAGGCCGATGAATATCACCGGAGTGAGCGTGTCAATGCGATCGATGCATTTTTGAGTCATGACTGGGGGACGAGGCGGTGGCTGAAAACAGCCACTTTGCTCGTCTATTTCAATAGTGTGCCGGCCGCAGTGGCAAGTTTGCTGATGTGCATCTTGGTTTGCGTCCTCATCATCTTCAGGGTCTTAGACGGATGGCTCCCCGGTACACTCGCCATCCACGGTGCTTACTGGTTTGTCTTTGTGTACTGGCAGAGCATTCGCGGCCTTTACAAGAAGAACATGGTTTTTCTTGATCGAACTTGCATTGCACAGCATGATACGGATCTGAAGAAGCAAGGGATCCTCAGCTTGGGTGGCTTCCTTTCCAAGTCCCGAAAGCTTGTGGTCCTGTGGAGTCCACGCTATTTCACCCGTTTGTGGACGGCCTTCGAATTGTCGGCCTTTTTGAGGGAAGATGTGGGTAGAGCGAAAGATATTCTCTTTGCCCCAGCAAGCATGGGTCCACTACTTCTGTACTTTTCAGTGTTCGAAACGCTGCTCATCACCAGCTTCCACTTGTTCCTAGAACGCTATGTCCAGTCTGTGCTGCAAGAACAAACCACATATTTGCAACAAGACAAAGGCAGCCTGTCAGGCTTGGGGCATCTCACAGTTGCGATGCTCGTCATTTGCGCGCCAGCCTTTCTGGTGATTGCACCCCTAGTGCTTTACCTTGGCACAATGCAGATGAAGGCTTTGCTGCAGCTGAGAAAACAGCTGGATGATTTTAAGATTCGACATGCTCAGTGCAGCTGTTGTCAGATGGACCATCGCCATCCTGACACTGGAGAAGAGATCTTGTGTGACCGCATGCTGGTCTTCCAAACATTGAAAAGATGGTATCCCAACGAAACGTCTTCGGATGCTTATCTGGACCGATTTGATGAGATGGTTCACACTAAGCTCGGTGGCTTTGTGGGACATGTCTTAGGAGCAGGTGCTCCACCTTTGCGACACGTCGTGGCCATCACCGTGCATCCGTTGCTTGGTTTCTTGTGCTTTTACGTCTACCTGACTGTGAATGAACACCTTTTTCCCTGGTCTGCCCTTGGCTGGATGATCGGCTGGTTTCAGGCTCCTCCTATGGTGTACCTCGCATTCTGGGAGTTCTTGCAACTTTGGAGGATGGGCGCTCGCTTCTCAAGCGCTCGATGCCCCCTGTGGCTGATCTTGTTCCTCGGAGCGGCGACCGGCATCGGTTTCAATGTTGCGGTCTGGTTGCAGTACAATCTTTTTAAATATACCTTTGGGCATGATTTCAATTGGCCTGTAGTTGGCTCCCTCATCTTCATGTGGGTGGTTTTCATCATCCCATACATTTGGGAATATTTTCCCAATATTTTGAAGCAAAGGAGGAACGGTATCTGAAAGGTTGAGGTTCCGCATGTCCCGTTCCATGGTCTTGTGAGTGTTCGTAGCGATTCTAGCTGCTAGATTGAATATGACAGAATCATTTGCCGTTGAAGAGTGCGGAACATGAGTGGTCTCACCAACTCTATGTTTCACAGGATGTGGAGGAAGCAGAAGACAGAAATGAGAAGCATGTGATTGCCACGTGGCCATGGAGGTCGAAAGGATCGCCTCGCCGATGCTTCATCGCCGATGCCGGAACGCAGTGGGATGTGCGAGCGAGTTTCGGACCTCCCACCCTGCAGGCCCCAGGCCCCCCTGCACCCGATTCCGAAACCACGCGACCTTCGCCGGGAGGAGCTTCTACGGAACCTGGCGCCCCAATGGCTGGTTCAAGATGTCCCGGAAGTACACGGGCCGAGAGGGTCAGGCACCGCCCCATCCGGAGCGCCGGTGGGAAGGTTGAGTACGTGGCACGCCCCTGCTGCAAGGAGTGTTAGGACACAAGCTTGGGAGTGTGAGCTTTTGGACACCTCGATTCCTCTAGGAATCGAGAAATCGAAACCGCCAAGACATGCTGGAGGGTTGGCAAACCACTTCGTGTCAATAACACTCTGGCCTATCAGGTGGTTGCCGGGGATAACACTCGGGTGCTTTGGTCAGGAACCCCGAACAGGTGCGTCCTCCGTTTGCTTCACCGCTGTGCCGGGACCGACCGCATGGACAGCGGGAGGTGAACGATCCCGGCTCATTCGCTTGTTGGTTGGTGGTTGAGGTGAAGACACTGAAGCTACTTCCAAGCTAGGTCTTGGATGCTTGTCTTCCAATTGAAGTTGACATGTTGAAAAAGAATCACAACACAGTAACTAACCGTTACTAACCATACAATCCGCTTTCAAATTTTCAACTTGTCATTTCAATAGGATATATGGAGATAACTGGTGTGCTTGGAAACGATCGATCGATCGCCACTTGTGCCGCCAGCCCTGTGAGAATGACCACATGACTGCCTATGAGGCGGCACCGATCAATGTTTGAGGAAGCATGGACCAAGAGCTTTGACCCGTAATTGTACGAAACTAAAAGGATAAAACGACGGGTTTCACGAGGAGAGAATGATTTCATGCTTATACTGTATATATGCATGGCAATATACATTTGCTTCGTTTTTTGTGGCGGATGTATGGACGCTGCTGATTGTTGTAATGTCGAAAATAAAGAAACAACTTAGGTGCGGTGGAGAGGTTTAAATCATCTCAATGAAGGAGTGGTTCATGGGAAAGAAGCTGTAAAAGCAATCCGACACTCCCAAAGCCTTTTGTTGATTGGACGTCAGTGTTGACGCGCCAGAGTTCGTGTCGAGCCCAGACCTTCAAAGAGAACCTCAAGGAAAACAAGCGATGGATGGGCCAGGAGACGACTGGGGATGGGCCATGAGACCGCCGCCTTTGCTCATCGAGATTGAACATGTGAACCTCGAGTCGCCGAGTCCGGACGCGAACCGTGACTGGAACGGCCGCGGCCGTTCGGAACGGAGCGAACGGACGCGACTCGTACCGTGAGGACGATGGCAACGGCTGGTTCTGGCTGGTGGCCGGCCAGAATCCAGGAGGTGCGCAGCTTTCCGAGGATCCGTCGGATGGCGTGTCGAAGGAAGAGGCAGAGAACCACAAATCGTGGCATGTTGGGAGGAAACCAGGATGCGTTTGGATATGTGATGATCAGCAGTTCAATCATCCCACATCGAAAAGGATGTCAGTCATCGAGGGAAAACATAACATTATATGATCACTTAAGTATTAGAAAAGGTGCAATGACCAGCTTTGGAATACGAGCCGTTGTGAATTTCATGCATTTCGCTCAAGCCCGCCATAGGGATAGGCTCCAACCCGCTGAAAACACCCGCTTTTTCTTTGGGATATGTTCAGCATTGAATCTGTGGCGACCGGGTCTGAAGAAGCAAGGCTGCAAGGCTTTGACCTCCCTTCACACGCGAATTACCTGAAGTCTGTGGTACACCTAGCTATGGCAGATCAGTAAGCCTTAGTGACATCTGGAGTCGCAAAGGCCATGAGGTTTTCACGTTTTGGTCAGCCTTTTGGATGAGCCTTTTCGATGACTCCGAGTGGCACCTTCGGCACCGCAGCGGTGCCTTGGCACCTCCAATGGGCTGTCTTGGTGAATGGCATACAGTTGTTTATACCATGCTCCCCGTAGGCTCAAACTCTGGCATTTTCCTCCAGGACATCTCCCAACCCTAACTCACAGGTCACATCCATGCCCCTTGTGGGGCACCTGGCTATGCCTAGCTCCAGCCCCTGTGCCCTATGCCTCTCTTGGCCGAAAGCGCGTGCGTTTTCACGCGCTCGAAAGGCCTCTACCTCTACGTCACCAAGTCGCCACCCTTTGGGCCGGGCGCACCGCGTCCGTCTCGTTTCGCCGAGTCACGGCTCTTGTGATTGGGCCAAACTTGAGGGGATTTGACCCCAGCTGCATAGGGTTTTTCTGATCATTCTGTCATCCTTCGAACATGGCTTTTGTGGACACCTTCGCGTTTGGCTCGGTTTGGCCGTTTCGCTCCTTCGTTTCGCTCGTTCGTTCGCCTCGAAAGAAGCTCCAGATCGTGTTCGTTCACTTCCAGGGAACGGCCTCTGGCGCTGATCAAAGAGAAGAATGTGGAGGAATTCTTTGAGAAGGTCCCGAGCGCGACGTGTGAACACGTCATGAGGAGGAAGCTGTTTCGGAACGAGCGCATGGACCAATGATACCTGATGGATCTGCGAAAGATGGCTATTTGATCGGCGAAAGATGTGGATGTGCGATCGATTCCTGGGTGTGATTCGGTTCGATTGATAGGTATATACATTGATATACCGTAGCTACATATTTTATATGTTTGTCGCAAAGACCCCAACAAAATGAGGTGTTTGCCGTATCCCGAAAAAAAGGCAAGGGCCAACGGTTCTCGAGCACAATATAGTACGTATATTATCGTGCGAGATGGAGCGGTTGTTCTTGTGGTTTTCAGGTGAACTGGCATATGCTCTTTGTTCGACTGCACAAGTGGAACCTATGGGGCGGCAAGGCGGCTGTCAGACGACACGTCGTGGAGATGGATGTCGAAGCTGAGGGTACTGTTGGCATACTTCCCAACCAGGACTCCGGAAAGGGAGGTGAGTGGTAGCATAAGCTAGTGTGTTCAGAGTTTAACATAAGCATCAAGTGTTTGAAAGGCTCAATCTGCCCACCATTTCCCTCAAAGTTCGAAGCAGCTCTCACATCTCATCGTTCAGCAAATTCAAAGATCACCTCTGAAGCTGAGCAGAACTTTCTGAAAGAAGGAACCAGCTTTCAGTCTAGGAAACCTCTAAAAGACTCCCAAATACTCCATGTATGCCATATATGCCTACATTGACCCCCAAAACCACCCCAATGTAGGCATATATGCCATACATGGAGTGTCTGGGACTGGTTCACCTGGTTTTGTCGTGGTTTTGGATGAAACGGTGGGCGATCGGAGCTCAGAACCGGCTCCAGAAGCGTCCGAAACGGCGGACACGGTCTCCGAGCAGGTGACGTGCGTTTTGAGACAGAACGCTCGATGCATCTGCCAAATTGAACGGGTAGCATTGAAGGAATAATAAAAGTACCTGTTCAATTGAAAAGAAATGAGTTGCAATAAGACGATTACAAAAAAGAAGATCGAGTTGCTTCATGTTGCTTCGCTTGGAACTCCAATTGGTTGCTGTACAGCACCTGCGAGGCCTCGGAGTTCCCCTACCCGATGATGTGGCGGCTGCGCAGCTGAGGCGCCGTGGCGGCACTCGGCGACCGTGTCGCGCGTCGCGTGCCGCGTGTCGCTGCGTTTCTTCGAAAGGGACTGGTGAAATTGAGGAGTGCACAGTTCTTCGTTTTTATCTGGGAATCCATAGTTGAGAGAATACAGTCATCCCAAAGGCATTCAGAGACGACCATGCATTCCATGTGACCTGTCATGTCAGTGATGCTCATTTTGGGTTTCCCGACTTGCTTTGGCTCAAGACTGAAGGAAAACGGTGCGTGTCGTTTCGTCGCGCAGTTGTCTTGTTTAGGGGGTTTGGAAGCTGTGCCCTCTAAACAACTGGTTAACAGCCTCATAGTGCATCTTTCCATATAGGGTTTGTTCCTGCCTTGAGCCAGCTCGGACAATTCCAACTTCGCCTAACTCCCTTTTGTGCCAGAGCATATATCGTGTTGATTGCCCGTGCCAATTGGTGTTAGTGACCTTGCATCTCGTCTCAGGCCAAAACCTTTGTGCGAGCTGCATCTCAGACCGCTGTTGTCAAGGACAGAGGGTCTTCGTGTCTTCAGGGCCGGGTGTTTTGCATACGGTGCAACTCCGGTACCAAAGAGGATAGTATCCGACCTCCATAATCACAAAGGCCTCAAATAGGAACCAAGTTTCCATCCTTTTTTAGAGGATTCTCGGCTCCACCTGTGATACCGTTTCCATCTAAGTAAGAGTCTCAGTCAGGCATTTTGCCCGATCCTCATCTTTCTTGCAAAGCAACTGAGTGGAGAGATCCTGAGAACAAAATTGAAACTCGTGACCAACTGCACCTTTGGGATCAAGAGTGTTTGCAACACTAGTTGTCATTTGCTCGCCGCACCTCGTGCATGCGTCGGGTGCCTCCACCTCCTCCTCCTCCGAGACAAAGGTCGAGGAGCCCTCTTGAGAGAAGACAGAGGGCAGTGCTTGAAGCTCATCGTCGCAATCGAGCTTCCAACAGGGGTGGGAGAGCAGCGCGTCGTCGTACAAGGGCGATACATCGACAGTTGCTTGAAATTCTCTTGGAACGTGTGCTTCGGATTTTTCGTCAGCTGGCTTTTGCAGTAGCATCTGAGCGTCGACAGTGGGATCTACGCTATCGGCAGGTGCAAGAGCGGTTGAATTATTTGAGCCGAGAGGATACGTTTCCGGAGAGCAAGCACATTGTGTTGCCGAATCTTCGATCTTGGGTGGCAGAACAACCGGATATCCGAGAAGAAGCCGATCGTTTGTCAATAGAGTCAGAGAGTGTGCAGGAGACTGTTAGCTTGCCGGTGAGTCGTTCTGAATCCGAAACGGAAGCTGAAGCTCAAACACCGCCTCCTCTTCTTGTTCGCTTGACGGCGTCCAGGGCGAGTACATTGGCAGGAGTTTCAGTGACAAGGAACAATCCATTGTTGCGGCAACAGTTTGCTTCACCGACAGCTTCATTGGCAGCCCCATCGACCGCTTCGCCCACACCGCCAAAGGCCAATCCTCCAACACAGCGACCTCCTCAGGTGGACTTGACAGTGCATCGACCTCCTCAGGTGGACT